GCTCCCCCTTAATTTAATTCGACTGTATCTCCTTTTAGTCGAGCCAATCTTTATTATAGTCGGGCGAATAATTATTTCTCTCCAATATAGTCAAGCGCCTATTAATTTCTCTCGGATATAACCGTTCCCGCTCAACCATTTTCAATAATCTCCCAGCTATTTTACTAACCAACTTGACTATCATAATTTCTCTCTCGACTATTCCATTTATTCCCTTGGATAATTATCGGCTCAGCTCTGACCAATAACCGTCTTGTCTGAATTCCGACCAAGTACTCCTAAAAATCCGCATTATCGGAATTTAGCTTGTCTGAACCATGACTCTGGCTAAAACCATCCTTCTTCCGAGAGAAACTCCCTTTCTCTCGACTATCTTGCAAAACTGTCGGCTATCTTCCCATTTCTCCCGAGAACTAACTGACCAGCTTGATTTCACTCGACCATTCTATCCCGGCTATGATGCTTGATAACTCCGTACTGATTCCCAAACAGTATCGTCCAGAAGTGTAATCCATTTTAAGCCGGTAAGGTTTGCGGAACACGGGCTTTACAATTCTGTGACACTTGATGATGGACCAGGTCCTAGTCAACCAACACAAACATCTATTGCTTAGGTACTTTCTCATATATCTCAGATGTATATGTTTCTTAATAGGTACATCTCTTGAATTATATACTATCTCAGATGTATATGCTGGTCGATTGGTTATGGTGTTAGTTAATGAATTGTTACAGCTCATCAGTTTGATGGTTAAGCTTTTCTTTGATGGTTCTTTACTGTCGTTTTATCTACTTTGATGGTTCTTTGTTACAGCTCATTGGTTTCTTGCTGATATATACGATTCTTTGTGTTGTTCATTTTGCGGGTGTGGCTTACATATGCTAGCAAGAGAAGGAGAGTAGTTTTTTGGCATTTTCGTTGCATTTTGGCTGTATAATACATTTATGATTTTGGTTGTTTAAACACAAATGTTGGTTCTATGAAACACAAGTTCTTTTGGTTGTATGAAAGACAAGCAATTTCAGTTTCTTTTCCTTTGATTGATATGATCCTTTTCTCTTAGGCACATACACATACACACTCATTTCAGTATTAGTGAACCACAAGAAACTAACTTCAAACTTTCAAAATATCATCCATAGTGGGCGAAATCTTACAAATAATAAAATTCAACATTTAAAATATAACATCGAAAAAGAGTAACTAGAACAGTCTCAAACAGTCTTCACCCGATAAAAACCAACGCCCAATCCAACATTTTACATTCAGCACTCTCAAACAGTCTTCAGCAGACAAAAACCTATGCCCAAAACCAACGGTAGCAAGCAACAACAACAACTCCAGACATTACCATTGTCTTCAAAAAACGGATCTCTGTTACCATTTCCTTAACTCCTTTCTTATGTCCTTCAAGCTCAGTTTCCATTACTTCCATCTTCTTCTTAATTCCACGAATAATGCCTTTCATGTCTAGTATCTCCTTCTCAAAGCCATTTACAACTTCCTCACAAGTTTTTGTCTCAACTTCTAACTTCACAAAAAATTTCTTCATCTCTTCAATCTTCTCTACAATTGTCTCATCGGTCCACTTGAACAAATGATATTTGTCCTTATAATACATAAAAAATCGAATCAGTTATTGTTCTAATAAGTCATTTCGCATAAGAAAAAATTATACAAAGCAGGAAAAACTGTTTACATTCTCGGATCCCATCAGACAACAATAAAACAAGCGCCCCAGATTTTTAGTGGTTGCAAATGTTTTTATCATGGATGATTCACCACATCTATAGGCATTGGGCATGCCTTTACACCCTAAAGAAACACCACGACTCCAGTTTGCACTAAACCTTGCAAATTTTCCTGCGATTACCCATTCATGACTTGGTACAAAATTTCCTAATTATTCGCATATATAACTGAATTCATACCATCAACATACCTGAATAGCCTGATGATGCGTTTTCATTCGATAAGGTTGACATTCGCTTCTACTCTCTTTGAGCCCTAAATTTGTTGATCTTCCCCAATTTGATTTGTATCACGACGAAGAAGTAGATGCAGTTTTATTTTTAAACAAACCAAAGCCAAAACGACGTCGTTTTAGGCAAAAAAAATTGGATTGTTCGAATGCTAAAACGACGTTGTTTACTCGAATGAGCCATGTGGCGACCACCTGGCTGCTGAGTCGACGTCGTCAACGGAGTAGACGGTGTTGACTAACAGTATAGTGGTCAATGTACTCTTTCGCCAAACGGTATTAAACTAGGGTATCAATATTCAAATATATAGGAGTTGGAGTACTATTTTACACACCAAAATAGTGCGTGCTCGAATCCGCTACATCTTTGATAGTTGAGGTACTAATTGGCCGCTTTCCCAGAGAGAAATCGTCTACAATACTCTTCTCACTTACGGATTGAGCTGCATTGCTCCTCTTTTAACTTAAATGGTTTTATAAAAAAAAATGGAAAAAGGGAAATTACTAGAAAACCAGACCAAATCTAATGAAATTATCATTTCTACCTGGATCTAACCCGAGAAATTTCGGCTTCAACGATGGATCGGGTTTACCTGAAAATCAATAGAATTTTTCCTTTCAAATTTTTCAAAAACACGATCTCTCATCTTAAACACGAACCGTCATCGAAACCGGAGAAACCCTAGCGGCGATAGAAAGAGGGAGAGAGATCGACATCAGAATAGAACGACGGAGAACTCGATTTCGTGGAGAACAAACGATGGCGAAGACAAAGAAAAATGCGTAAGGAGAACCCGAGCCCGAGTCGGAGGCCGATTGTGAAGCCGGCGGGAAGAAGCGTAAGACAAAATCGGGAACGATAGAGGCGATTCCGGGTGGAGAGGCTCCTCCTCCTCCTCCGATTGTCGAAACACAAACAACACAGGGGGTTCCGGCTCGAGAGGCTCCTCCTCCTCCAATTGTAGAAGTGAAACGATGGAGGCGGGTAACAAGACGGTCGAAGAAGACGTAGACAAAGACGGAGAAGAAGGAGTAACCGGAGGCAGAGATGAGTTAGAAGGAGAAGCCTCCGGAGATGGTGATTCCTATGGAGAAGACGGAGAACAGGGTGTGGATAGCGAGGCTAAGGAAGAGGAGACAGAAAGCGAGAGAGACGACCGGAATCCTGTAAGTTAATTATCTCTTTCTCAATTCTCTTTTGTATTTTGATCACAATTCTCAATTCTCAACTGTCGAAAATTGTAAAACTAGGATAATTAGGTAATACTAGCATGTTGGTAAAACTAAGATAACTGGATAAAACTAGTATTACTTTGTAATATTCTGAGTTTGGTAATATTCTGAGTTTGGTATTAATATTGTATGTATGTTGCAGGGTGCCTTTGAAGAGACGATTGCCATGCGACCAGACATGTACTTGAAGCCTGATCAGTATAGCAAGAGCATTTAACTACCAACCCGGTGTTTCGTCCAAGAAGTTATGGAGACGTTTGAGAAAGTGGATCTGACTCCAATGGAAAGAGAGTGGTTTGAGCAGCATCCGCAGTTCTGCCACACTCTTCACATGCCGTAGAGAAATCATATGGTTTAACCATTGTGGATGTTGTTGCTGTGTACTGCTAGGATCGAAAGGAAGAAGGAGGATTGGTTTGTGGTGAATGGCGTTCCCGTCCGGTATGGGTTACAAGAGCATGCTTTGATCTCAGGACTCAATTGCAGCAACTACCCTCTCTATTGGAATAAAATAGGCAAGTCTTACTTGAAGCAAAAGTATTTTCCTGACAAAAAGAAGGTTTCAAGGGAGGACGTGAAGAAAAAGCTTGAGGAGATGGGTGCGGATGATAGTGGAGATAGGCTCAGGATGGCGGTGTTGTATTTCTTGAGCAGCATCTCTACTCTCCCACCAAAACCGGAGACAACGCGAAACCCGTGCTCGAAGTATTCTTAAAATACGTTGATGATTTGGATAAGTGTAAGACATTTTCTTGGGGGAGATTGTCTTTTGATCGCATCTTAGAGTCCATTTCGGATACGATGAAGCACTTTGTTGAGAAGGGGTTGGGCAGTGCATGGTCGTTTCCTGGTTTTTGCATTCCTTTGGAGGTAAAACATTGTCTTTTGTCTTTTGCATTGTTTTCCTTTTCATTTTAAGTTAAGTCTAATTATATGCGTGTGTTTGTAGCTTTTGGCGATGGAGGCCATTATGCCACTGAGACAGAGCTTCCGAGAAGCTGTACCATATCCTAACGTCGATTGTCCGAGAATGTGCAGGTCCAAGTGGAAGAAATGCGACCTAAGAGGCTGGCCACTTGAGACTGTGTATGAAAAGCTCGAATGCGAGAACCAGGTTAGTAGTAATTGCAGATTTGAAAAATACAAGGAAACTTGTTAACATTGGTTGTTTAAATGTGTTTATCCTGACAAGACATTGACAATGTGCTGATAGCTTCGGAGGAGGAGAATGCAATGTTGGATTTGATAATGGAAACAAAGGATGATGATGATGAGCACAATCCTGTTGTGGAAAGTTGGGAAAAACGTATTGATAATGGATTCACCGTTGTGTTTGAAGACATGAAAGAGGAAGATGTGAAAGGGCAAGAAAAAATGGTGGAGGAAAAAGCAAGGAAAAAAACCCCGAGCCAAGAAAATGTCTCTGGAGGATGTCGTCTGCGCGATGGAGACCATGACAGAGCAGTTGGGTTTGCTCAACAACGAGGTCCATGAAATTAATGAGAGGATAAAGCCACTTGAAGAGTATCTGAAAGCGAGAAAGGCTTCAGGCTCTTGAAAATTGTTTGTTTTTATATTTGGTAGAAGATTGTTCTGATTTGGAACTAGTACTTTGTTTTTATTTGGAACTAGTACTTTGTTTTTATTTTCGATCTCGGATGAACTATGTTTTTAATTTGAATTATTGAATTCCTGTATTATTAGGTAAAACTAGTCCTAGTAAGTGTTGCTAGATAAAGAAATACTAAGAGAAGTTAGTAATACTAGGTGATACTAAAAAAAACACTAAGTAACATTAGTAATACTAGTAGCCGCCATTGAAAACTTAAGAAAATACAAGCAAAATGGAACATTAGTCTTGAACAACAATTAAAGGAAATTGCAGATTCGTTAAGTCTTGAACAACAATGGAAAACATTGGAGACTAAGGAAATTGTTGAACAACATTGAGCTTGGCTATCTCTTCGGTTTGGATCTGAATCTGTTTTCGCATTTTTTCAATCGTCTTGCTCTGCTCATCAACTTTCGTAACTAGCTTCTCAATCTCTTGTTCGACTCTGAAAACCCATGGCTGACGAAAGTAGAGTCCATCATCCTAGTAAAAAAACGAGCAACATCCATTATAGTTTTATCCAGTATTCCAAGTTTTACACCAAAAAAAAAACTAAATAGTTTGACCTAGTTTTATTAATTTTACCCAAAAAAAAAATTCAGACCTGAAATTATAGAGATTAAACCTTAAATTTAGTGCAGGTGAAGTACCTACTTCCGGGTTGAGTATCGAAATCGTGTTTAAATTTTAGATAAGGAGATACATCGTGCTTGATTTATCCACCACATGGGCATCTTGTCGGAATCCCATATTGGCCGTCGGCGACGAATCCAACCCTCTCCCAATGCTGCTTCATCTTCTCCATTTCCTTGCGGCGCCTCTTATCTTCCTTCAACTCCTCCTCGTATGGGTCGATGAGGAAATTGTCTGTGTAGTGATAGCTACAATCCGAATCCATTTGGATCGTGTGAGAGAGAGAGAGAGGAGATATCGATTTTAAGAGGGAGAGGAGAGATCGATTTTAAGTTTGAATATGATATTTTTGTACCTTTCATTTAACAAGGTTGTATTCATAAGAAAGTGTTTCTTAAAGTATAAGAGAATGTTAAAGATCGATATTAGAACTCTGGTGCAACAATAAGTTTGAACTCGTGTTTTGTTAATTCTTAGATTTGTATGACATATAAGTTGTAGTTCTAACAAAATTAACTAAGTTAGGTGATTAGTTTTGGTTTTTAAATAACAATACATAATTACTTTGAAAAGTCAACTAATACCAATCATGCATAGTTATACCAGTATTACACAAAAATCATAACATAGTACTACAAAAGTGAAAACGAGTTACACGTAACAAAAGCTTAAAACGTTTACATCATGCAAAGTCTTCTCCATATAGTAACCCTGCTAGTGTCCTTCCGCGCTTGAGTTTGTTATGTGTCCTTCCCATTCGGCACCTTTCTCCCGTTGATGGAAATCTTTTTTCTTTTGGACGACCCTTTTTCTTGACGCGATCCGGAGGTATTATCTCCTTCTCCATGATATAATCCGGTACAATCCACGCAGACATATCGGACACCACGTAGATCGATCTGCTATAAGCCAATATCCACATCTCCGTGAAATAGTATTTCGAACACAAGTCATAATATTCTATGTGGATATCACGCCTTCTATTATTCTTGAAAGAGATGAAAGCGGCTAATACATGGATACAAGGATACCTATGAATATTAAAGAACCTGCAACTGCAAGTTTTATTGGCCAAGTCCACCAAATAAAACTTTCCCTCTTCTGACATGACTTCGTATTCAAGGTCACAACCGTTTACCTCCCTGACATCTAATTTATCAGCTATAGGCCAATTGTCGTGCAAGAAGTTCTCAACCAAAGGAACCAGTTTCTGAGCACTCATTCCTGCCACGGATTCGTTCTTATGCTGGTTAAACCAATCAGAAAACTTTCAAACTATCGTATCAAGCATGGATATTAAGGAGTACTTCCTCGCATCCCTAAAAGTTTTGTTTAGAGATTCCACGGAGTTGCTTGTGTCGAGGTTGTATCTAGCAACCGGAGAAACACATCTTGCCCACTTTTGTGGCACGGTAGTCTCCTCCACATACTTTGCCGCTGAAGGAAATCTCTGCTTAAATGCCTCATAAAGCATATTGAACTCAGCCACCGTATGAGCCTTAGCGTACTGTTGGAATTTTTTGGCGACAATGGCTCTGCTTACGCTTGGAGCATTCACTTTCACGTTTTGAGCCAAATGCCATACGCAAAACCTATGATGAGCTTGTCGATAGACGTTAGCTACGGCGTTGATGAGGCTGGTATTTCTGTCACTTACAAATACCAACTCCGAAGAGTCGTCTACAACAGTTTTCAGCTTCTCGAAAAACCAGCCCCAACTAGCATTGTTCTCGCTGTCGAGTCCACCGAATGCTATGGGATAAATGTGACGATTTGGATCCTGAGCTGCGGCGAAAACAAGTACACCACCAAATCCGACCTTGAGAAAAGTTGCATCCACCACAATCATTTTCCTCATGAACCGAAACCCATCAATGCAAGCTCCCAATACTATGAATAAATACTTGAATTTTCCCACCATATCCAGTTCCACAGTTGTTTTCGTACCCTCATTCAGCTCCTCTAACACGTACAAAAATGATACAACATCCTGTAGTTATCTTCCAGAGTGCCACACATATCAGAAATTGCTTGATTCTTCCCTCTCAAAGCCGTGGAGTATGATACCTCTACACCAACTTTCCTCTTCACAAGTGTCATAATTTCTCTAGGAGTTGGAGTCTCGAGTTTCCCGGGATAATGCTCACTCATAATAGCTGCAACTAGTCGTACTGATCCTCTCCTCTTCATGCTGCCTTCTTCACTCTGACTAGCACGGTTACATGTGTGCATATTCCTGTAAGTTCTAATCGAAAAAGCATCCGATTTTGCTATCTTTGCTGCTCGTACGTGCCATGTACAACTTCGTTGCGCGCATTTTACCACCCATCGCTGAGTATCAGAATTTTTTATCACATACCTGAAAGATTTAACAAATGCGCCGCTATGAACCACTTCTACAACAGCATTCTTACTAGGAAATTCTTGATCAATACTCAAATCCAAACCGTCTTTCCATGGCTCTAAACTCTGACTACATTCAACAACAGGTGGTCCCTCAACATAATAATCATGTCTATCCGATGATTCCACAACGTTACCCCCACCATCATCATCATCATCATCATCATCATCATCATCATCATCATCATCATCATCATCATCATCATCATCATCATCATCATCATCATCATCGTCATCATCATCATCATCATCATCATCATCATCATCATCATCATCATAATCATAATCATAATCATCATCATCATCATCTTCTTCTTCTTCTTCATTTCTTTCTCTGTTGTCAACATGCAACGTTATGGCATTGGGTCCTATTGGTCCTATTTCTCCGCTTTCATCAACAATGCGCTGCGAATCTTCATAATTCATACCATAAGAGCTTCTCCCCGCTCTCGATTCTTGCACGAGCAGTTCCGGTGTACTCATCAACTCCATAATCAAAATACATCTACGGTTCTCATTATCAACATGCGATAGATATGCCAACAGATCCTCATCATCAGAAATATACGACTTTTCCTCACATTCAGCCAATCTAGCAATGTATCTCAATTGCAATTTAATCTTACTTTCAACTAACCCAAGCTTCTTGTATAACCTATCATCTATCATCGGTATTGTTATCTCGTCAACTGATGTCTTTAACACTAGACCATTGATGCGACCTTCGCATTTATAATGTATGGTGACATTGTTGCTCATTTTAACCTACCCAATAAAATTCCAAAAACTCATTCAATACTGTTTTTTTGTTCACAGTTATACACTACTTGTTCCCAGTTATACACTACTTGTTCCCAGTTATATACTAGTTTTACTAGTTATACATCATTTTCCAGTATTTCTAGTATTTCTAGTTATACTATTATCGTATGACCAAGATCCAGTTCTCAGATCCAGCCGGCTTTGAGATTTCAAAAACTTATAATTCACTACGATTCAGCCACTGTAATGCATTTGTAGCCAATATAGAGTCATATTCAACCCAGAAACATTCGTTAAACACCAATGTGCATGAAATCCAATTCAATCTATCATTTCTCCTAATTTCCAATTCCTAAAACCCAAAATTTTCCCAAAATCCCCAAAAATTAACACCAATGATTCATTGCAACCAAACGGACCTCAATTTTGGACCTCAATGAAGCTCCGGCGGTGCAACGGTGGCGAACGGAGATCGACGGAGGTGGATGCAATCGTCGTCTCGATCTCTTGTCAAGAGGGAGAGAGAGACAAAATGGTCAATGGTCAATGGTCGGTCATGGTCAATAATCATTAATCATTAATGGCAAAATGGTCAATCTACATTACAAAAGTATTGTGGATTATATGAAAGTGTTAGAGATCATTTGATTTCTCATAAGAGTATATCAGACGATGTCTCCCATTTAGATTAATCTTGCATTGTAAATTTGTGATAACTATTTTTTCTTGTTTTATTTTTATTTAATACTCCAAACAAATTGGCATCTGGAAGTAAACATGATTAATTATGTTTATTGAAAATCACAAATGATTTTATTTTAGATGTTCAACTGGATTTTACAAAAAAAAAAAATATTTATGAAATTTTAAATTTATTGATTATAAATACTCTTTCTCTTTACTTTATGGGGTTATATATATTTAATATTTAAAAGTTATGTTTAATTAAAAATTTAATTTATCGTATATACAATAATATTGGTTAAATATGTTTTCTTGTATGATTAAAATTATTTGTTGGAAATTAAAAGGTTGTATTATTTTTGATTTTTATTTTGTTCTAAGTTATTAGTTTTGTAATTATAAATATTGTATCATTTATGGATTATATTTTGTTATAATTGAGGGTTTGATTTAATCAGAATATAAAATATGTAAAAATGAAGACAAAATGTCTGAAATCAAATATCTTTTAAGTTTTTGTGGAACTTGTAGCATGGCAATACTATCCAATTGTGGATAATTTTATCAATATTCTTATTGAGTTTGTTGATGTGTGAGCAACCCTCGTTGGCTCTAAGAGTTTTGTCTATAAAATGGAAAAATATATAAGTACGATATTTGATGTATGTAGTGTTATGTGACTTGAATCTGATAGTTAAAAGTAGATCCCACATATATTTGGATCAGAATTAGGATCCAGATGCAATCCTCGTTGGCTCTAAGAGTTTTGTCTATAAAATGGAAAAATATATAAGTACGATATTCGATGTATGTAGTGTTATGTGACTTGAATCTGATAGTTAAAAGTAGATCCCACATATATTTGGATCAGAATTAGGATCCAGATATTTTAAAATTTCATTGTATTTAATTTGTGCCAAGCTTCAATGATAACATATCATACTTCTACACAAATGATGCAAATGGTTATTATTTATTAGAGGAATTAATAGAATAGAGATTAGTGGAATAAAAATTAGTAGAATAAGAATAGTAGAGGAATAAATTTATTTCACTCATTTCTTTTCAAAATAGTAGAGAAAATAAATTTTAAAATTTTCTTAACAAATTAGTTATTTTTGGTGAAATAGGTGGAATTGTTTTCCACTAATATTTTCTGTAAATGGTAACATTTCAGAAGAATGTTCAATTCCACCATATTTTATTCCTCTAAAAGTGACACAAGACGAAATCATTTTCTTTTGAAATCAAATGCTTTGAGTTAGAGTTGGCGAAATGGTTGATAACCTGGTTGTGCTTGATGATCCCAAACACAAGGATTAGACTCTTAACTCTTCAAGGGCTAATCCTCACAAGAAGTGTTTAGATTCTACACGATTTTGTAAGTTTTCTGAATCCCTCAAAAGAACTAAACAATTTGCAGGAACAATTGTATTCAAAAGAAACATCTCTTTAGAAAACAAATAATACTTTTCTGATTAAAAACTTGGGTGACTTGAATAATACAATGCTT